TCTGAGGAAATGGGTCGGGGGGCGGGGGCGACCGAATCCCGGACGAGCCCCCAAATGTAGGACCCCCCCCCCGCCGACTGGGGTACCCTACGTTCTCGGGAGGGCGCACCCCAATAACTCAGTCCTCAAACCAGAAGATGCGATAGCAAGAGGTTTTATTATTTCATCTATAGATGGTCTTCCACCTTGATCAAAAGGGGAAGTCCAGATTCAGCTTAGAAGCTTGCTTATATAGACAGAAACCACAAACCACGAACAGCAGAGGGGGCAAGGGGCAAGCATTCAGGTTACAGCAGAAGTTAGGTCACAGCAGTAGTGGGAGGGGGATTTTTCAGGTATTTTTCCAGCTTAAGGAAGCATGAAAAGGTCATCTTTTGTTCTCTACAGTTAGAATTATTTTTCTTTTACTTCCTTGTACAGTGTCCCAGAATATAGCCTGGGAGACTTAGTTTCAGTTTACTTTAATCTGGGGGGCTCTGATTTGATTCCATCACTCTTAACCGCTGAGCCTCTCTCCAGCCCCAAACCATTTAATTTTCATAATATGCTATGATGGAGTGTGATAGATTTATAACATCTTTTTTTTTTCAGTGCTAGGGATCAAATCCAAGGCCTTGTACAATGGCTTTGCCACTGAAGTAGGCCCCCAGCAGTGCTTTATTTCTTTTACGTCCAATAACACTGCACTGTATGGGCATGACATGTCTGTTTATCCCTCTGCCCTTGCTGAACCTTTGGAGTTTTTTGACTATTGTAACGCAGCTGTAGGTGCTGTACTCTAGGTGTGTGTAGTTGTGCATTTTCATCTCTCCTAGGTCTATCCTAGGAAAGGGAAGGCAGGGTGACGTAGTAACTAGATTAAGATTTTTCATTAAGTATGTTAAACATATCAGTACCAGGTTCTGTGACATTTTCACACACACATGCATATGACATACTTAGACCATGCTCACCCTGTCACCTTCTTTCATTTTCCCTCTCATCCTGTCTCACATTTCTTTTTCTTTTTGGTCTTTTTGAAACAGGGTCTTCATGTAGCCCCAGCTGGCCTGGAACTCATTATGTAGACTAGCTGGGCCTTGAACTCACAGAGATCTACTTGCCTCTGCCTCCCAAGTGCTGGGACTACAGGCATATGCCACCATGCTCTGCTACTGTCTCACTTAAAAAAATATTTTGCAGGAGTAGTCAGTGCTCTTAACCGCTGAGCCATCTCTCCAGCCCCCATCTCACATTTTTAATAGTTCCTTTCTATTTACATGTTGTCCCCTTAAATTTCACATAAGAGATAAATTGGGTTTGTTTTGGGGGAGGTTATTTTTGAGTCAGGGTCTACCTGTAGCCCCAGCTGGCCTGGATTCACTATGGAGACTGGGCTGGCCTTGAAATCACAGAGATCCACCTGCCTCTGCCTCCTGAGTGCTGGGATTAAAGGCGTGTGCCACCAGCCCGGCCAGTTTTTAGAAACACCATATGTGTGTGTGTAAGTGCCCAGAGGCCAGGGAGCCTTGGATCCCCTGGTACTGGAGCTACAGGCAGTTGTGAGCCATCAGATGTCTGTGCTGGGAACTGAACTCAGGTCCTCAACAAGAGCAGTAAGTGCTCTTAACCATTGAGCCATCTCTAGCCCCTCCATTGTTCTTGAGAACAGCATTAAGCTTGAACTTTTGCATATTTGGTTGTAAGTAAAGTTAATTTCTTTGAAAGATATTAGCTACCATCTATTTTATGATAGGCTTTTCCCATGCAAAATTTCTGAGCTGGAGTTCTGGATTTATGTGGAGTGAACAGCAACCTCCTTTCTAATTAACACTCTTGGTCCAGCAGCTGAGTAAGTGCTCCCTGGCCCCAGCAGCAGCCTGAGGTCCTCAGCTTCTCCTGGCATGAAAGCAGGAGACCTCATGTGTTGAGTCAGATGGCCCTAGTATTCCTATATACCCTAACCATGATAGAACCATTGTTCTATGAATGGGGCTTGTTGGAAGGAAGACCCCTGTCTTTCAGGAGATACAGCCTCAGAAACAGATAGCTGGGGGAGTAGGAGCATACTGAAGTTCTGTTCTTTCAGAGAAGGGTCTTTATTTTGGCTGACACTTTGAAGCTACAGTCCAAGATGGTGGTAAGAACTTGAGGTAGCTGGTCATATTGCATCCATAGTCAGGAATCAGAGTTTGATGTTAGGGCTCGGTTTGCTTTGTACTTTTTTATTCTCTCCAGGACCCCAGCCAATGGAATGGTCCTGTCCACATTTAAAGTGAGTCTTCCTGCCTCAGTTAACCTATATAATTCCTCACAGATATGCCCAGAGGCTTGTCTCATAGGTAATTCTAGATCCATCAAGTAGGTAATCAATATAAACCATCACAAGTTTACCCTTCATCAACCTTTAAGCCATAACTACCCATCCCTTGACTCCATAGGTTCTTATCCATCTCATAATGCAAAATGCATTTGGTACAATGTCAAAAGTCCCCGTAGTCTTCAACAGTTCTAACACTCTTTAACAGTGTAAGTGCTGAGTCTCTGAAACCCAATCTTTTTAAAAAATTTTTATTTATTTTTTATTTTATATGTATGAGTGTATTGCCTGCATGTATGTGAGTGCACCCATGTCATGCAGTGCTGCGGAGGTCAGAAGAGGGCTTCGGATTCCTCTGGAACTGGAGGTAAAGACGGTTCGTAGCTACCATGTAGGTGCTGGGAATTGAACCTGGGTCCTCTGCAAGAGCACTCAGAGCTCTTAACTGCTGAGCTATCTCTCCAGCCCCCTCAGGCAATCTTTTAACAATGAGCCACTGTCCAATACAAAAGTATCATATTTACAATATAGAATGACACAGAGTAAGCATTCCATTCCAAAGGAAAGAATGGGGGTAGTAGAGAGTGAGCAGACCAAAGCAGCACCCAAACCCAGAAATGCAAACATCACATCCAGCAGCTCCATATCTGGCACCTGGGGCTTATGCTAGAATTGTTTGTGCTCCAAAGGGCTTGTGTAGCCCTGCATTTCCAGCTCTGCTGCACAACCTCTCTCAGGCAAGATCAGTCTATGCCTGCATCTTAACAGACCTCTCATGGTTCTGGCATCTCTAGCATCCTACCATCTCCATTTATACTTGGGCTTCATCTTTACAGCTTCATGCAATGGCCCCTCAGTTCATCTTTGTAGAGAATTCAACACTGCTACAACATTTCTTGGTTTGATCCCCTCGCTCATGTCTTTCATGCCAGTAACACCAGTATCATAGGGATACTGCTACCAAATTCTGCTGCCAGCTCAAAGACAAACCTGTCCCCCTTGAACCACGGTTGCAGTGCTTCTGGATTGATTGATTTGATTTCATGTGTGTGAGTTACGTAAGGGCTTCCACGTAACGCAATCCCCATGGAGGCCAAAAGAGGCTATCAGAGCCCCTGGACCGGAAGTTAGGGCCAGTTGTCTTCTCTCCATCTCCCTTAGACTCTGTCCTTTCAAATGCATTTCCATTCTCACAAGTTAGAGCCTTCAGTGCATGGGCTCTTACCCTCTAGGTACCTTTCCTGTTGTCACAGAGCAGGAGGGTTCTTTTTGATGTTTACAGCCTGTTTTTCAGCATTCACCTTGGCCACAGCTTTAAATTTGTGCCCTTTTCCTGGTGCACATCATATATATATATGGTCTCACTCTGTTACCCAGTCTGGCCTTGAACTGTGAACCTTCTCCCTCATCCTCCTGAGTTTACAGGCATGGACTGCCACAGTTGCTTTTGGCTTGTGTGTGTGTGTGTGTGTGTGTGTGTGTGTGTGTGCATTTGTTCTAGCACACTTGTTGAAGACTTCTTTATTCATTTGTCTGCTCTTTTATTAAAGATCAGTGGAAGGCCTGGGGACAAGTCTTAGTGGTAGAGCACATGTTTTGCATGTGTAAGGCTCCAGTTTTGGTCCCCAGCTTCACAAACAAAAGAAAAAAAAAAAAAAAAAAAACACCACAAAACAGCCCAAACCAACAAAGCCAACCAGACAAGAAGCACAGATACGTTGGCTGTATTTATGTTGGACTCTCTTTCTGGGCTCCGTAGTCTACCGCCTTGATCTGCTTGTTCTGTTTTTTTTGCACCAGAACCACCTTTTCCTGCATATTGCATCTGTACAATACACCTTGAAGTTAAGTGCTCTCTCCAGGCCCTGTTCACCTGCTTTGTTCTTCACTATTTTAGCTGCTCTGGATCTGTTGCCTTTCCATATGGACTTTATGATCAATTTGTTATTAGCTACAAAATTGTTTTGTTTTATTCTATTTATTATTGTTGTTTGTTTGTTTGTTTCCTTGAGACAGGGTCTCCCTCTAACCTCAACTGGCCTGGAACTTGCTATGTAGACTGGCCTTGATCTCACAGATCTACCGCCCTCTGCTGGGATTAAAGGCATGTGCTACCATGCTCAAAATAGTTTTTTAAAGTGACAGAATGGGCCAGGCATGGTGGTGCATGCCTTTAATCCCAGCACTGGGGGGTGGGGGGGTACAGAGGCAGGCAGATCTCTGTAAGTGCAAGGCCAGCCTAATCTCCATAGTGAGTTCCAGGCCAGCTGTGGCTACAGGGAGATCCTGTCTCAAAAAACCAAACCAAAATGAAACAAAAACCCTACACAAGCAAACAAACATATCTAATTAAAAACTTTTTTTTTGTTTGTTTTAAGACAGAATCTCACTGAGTGCCCCTGGGTGGCCTGGAGCTTGCTATGTACACTAGGCTGGTCTGGAATTCACTAAGTAGCCCAGGCTGGCCTTGAAACTGTGGCAGTCCACCTTCCTCAGCCTCCCAGATGCTGGGATTATAGGTGTGTGCCACCATACCCTGGCACTGATTTTTTTTCCAAAGAAGTTGTATAGCTTTCCCCCTAGGACAGTGCAACCTTTATAGCAGGTAGCAATGTGTATAATCCTTACCATTTTCATTAAAGTTGTCATAAGGGCTGCAGTAGATCCCAGTGATTTCTGTTTCTTCTAAATGTGAGGTTCAGTATCATATATATATATATAAATTTTTTTTATAATGCCTGTATTGTCTGCATGTAGATAAGGGCACCCGTGTCGTGCAATGCCCGAGGAGGGCAGAAGAGGCTGTCAGATCCACCGGAACTGAAGTTAACAGACAGTTGTTAGCTGCTATGTGGGTGCTGGGATTTGATCCGGGTCTTCTGCAAGAACCAGTGTTCTTAACTGCTGAGCCATCTCTCCAGCCTGAGGTTCGGTATCTTTATCTACCTAAAACGTACTTTTGATATAAACAGTCTTTTAAGAAACATCACATGGAAGAAAATTTGGATTATAGATGACTCACAGTGAGTTCAAAGAAATAAATAAACTCTAAGTGGCAAAAGGGGCTGAGAAGATGGTTCAGGAGGTAAAGTGCTTGCCTAAAGAGGTCTTTAGTATGATCCTTAGAACCCACAGTGGAAAATAAAAATACATGTGGTATTGTGAGCTTGTGATCTCAGTGCTGGGGAGGCAGGGACAGGTTAGTCCATAGGGATCACTGGCCAGCCTAGGAGTTCATCAGTTAGGCTATGATGACTAGCCAGTGAGAGATCCTGTCTGCAAAAAAAAGGGTGGATTGGCTTCCGGAGGAACAATACCAGAGATTATCCTCCCACAAAAGCATGCACAATCACATAGTCTCTTTCTCTCTGACATACATAATTAAAAATATTTGAGATTTAAGATTTTTTTACTTTTCAAATATGAGACTTTAGCACTCAATTCAAATTCATAAGTCACTAATTATACCTATTAGTAGCTAATGACACCTTCCATTAGTATCTGAAGGTTTGATTTTTATTTTGTGTATATAACTATTTTGCTTGCATGTATCTTAAGTGCACCTGTGTCGTGCAATGATGGTAGAGGCCAGAAGAGGGTGTTAAAGCCTCTGGAACTGGAGTTATGGATGGTTGTTAGCTGCCATGTGGGTGCTAGGAACCAAACCCGGGTCCTCTGCAAAAGTAGCCACTGCTTTTAACCACTGAGCTGTCTCTACACCCCTGAAACAGTTTTAGAATTGGTTACTTTTTATCTGGATTGTTACATAGCTTCTGATACAACTTAGGTACAAGTTACTTGACGTTTTAATAAAATGTAATAAGTAATGAACCCTCAAGTTAACATAGGATGCTACAGTGAAAATTTGTTCATAATACCATTGAAACGTTATTTCCCCCCTTTTTATTAGAATATGTTAACTGTACAATATAATGCCTTATGTGTGACATTTCATATATGTGCACACTTGGATTATATTCCCCCTCCATTAGTTTCTGCTGTTCCCTTCCTTTTGCCCATGAACAGTCTTTTTCTCTTTTATTCTTTTTTTTTTTTTGGTCTTTTTAAGACAGGGTCTCCCTATGTAGACCAGGCTGGCCTTGAACTCAAAGAGCTCTACCTGCCTCTGCCTCTGCTGGGATTAAAGGTATGTGCCACCATGCCCACATCCTTTAAAACACAAAGAAGTAATTTCTTCTTTTTTCAGCCTGTAGATATCTAGGCTTTGGGCTGTATGATCATTGAAATGGCCACTGGAAACCCTTATCTTCCCAGCAGTTCTGATTTGGATTTACTCCGTAAGATTGTTTTAAAAGTAGGTAGGTATTACTGAAATACTGCTACATATCTGAAATAAGTACTGGCAGATCATTTATACTTGCTGTTCATACTAAGCATATGTGCACAGGAATAAGGAAGCACATTGTTTTGATAGGTGATGGCAGATGGGTGCCTTGTGCTGACAAAGAAGGCAGAAAATGTTTTTTACAAATAATATTTTCTTTGCCAGAATGCAAATAGTGAAGCCATATGCTAATCATTGATACTAAGAAAACAGCACAGCAGGAGTGTTCTGAATTAAATCAATTGCAACTTTTCTAAAAGTTGTTTAAATTTTGGACTACACAAATATTGGTATTTCTAAACAAAGACATTTATTTATTTTTTGTTTTAATTTTATATGTATGAGTGTATTGCCTGCATGCGTGTTAAGTGCACCAGTGTCGTGCAATCACCAAGGAGATCAGAAGAAAGCATTGATTCCCCTGGAACTGGAGTTGTGGACAGTTGTTAGCACCATGTGGGTGCTGAGAATTGAACCCAGGACCTCTGCAAGATTATCCAGTGCTCTCAATCATTGAGCCATCTCTCCAGGGTTGGTTCAGATGGGTTTTTAGACTATTTGTAGACAGAGAATCAATTATTTGCTCATGAATTCTCTTTTTTTTAAAAAAAAAAAAACCATTTTTTTTGTCTTTTTTAGACAGGGTCTCCTTGTAGCCCCAGCTGTCCTGGAACTCAGTATGTAGACCAGGCTGGCCTCGAGCTCACAGAGATCCGCCTGCCTCTGTCTCCCGAGTGCTGGGATTAAAGACATGTGCCACCACACCCGACCGGAAAAAATACATATTTTTTATTGTATATGTTTGCTGGCATGGTGGTGCATGCCTTTAATCCCAGCACTCGGGAAGCAGAGGCAGGCAGATCTCTGTGAGTTCAGGGCCAGCCTGGTCTACGTAGTGAGTTCCAGGCCAGCTACAGGGAGATCCTGTCTCAAAAAGACCAAAAAATAAAATTTGTGTGTGTGTGTGTGTGTGTGTATGTATCCGTGTGGGGGTATATGCATTTGTGTACAGAGGTGTCAGATCCCCTGAAGTTACAAGCAGTTGTGAGCCATCTAACTTGGGCGCTGGGAACTGACTTAAGTCCTCTGCAAGAGTAGCAAGTGCTCTTAATGGCTGAGTTATGTCCAGGCCCCATAGATCATCCTCTTTATCAACTACCACTACCACCTCCATAAACCCACAGTAGATAGCCATGTAGTTAATAACTACATGAAAAAGTAAAATGAAAAATGAAAAAAGCCTACTTGATAAAAGTTTAATTATATGATGAGCTATTGTCTTAGAGTCTTTTCCTGCTGTGATAAAACACCCTGAAAAAAACCAGACTAATGGAGAGTGGGTCTGTCTGACTTCCAGCTGCAGGTTACAGCTTGTCATTACAGGGATGTCCCAGCAGCTGGAGCTTGAGGGAACTGGTCACATCTCACCACAGTCAGAACAGAGAGCACTGAATACATATAAGCAGCTCAGCTTCCTTCTCCATTTATGGGGTCCTAGACCCAGCCAGGGAATGGTGCCACCCACAGTAGGAGACCTTCTCACCTCAGTTACCATAGTTAAAATAATCCCACAGGCAAACCCAGAGGCCCATTCTGTCATGTTCACAGTTACCGCTAATCATAATGACCTAAATGTTTGATTAGCCTTGCACATGGTATTTCAACTTGAATGAGGATCTTGAGGAACGTTTTTGTGTGCTGGGGAAATTTTATAAACATAATTGCAGGATTGTGAGGAAGAAGATACTTTGAACAGTCATTAAAGCAGAAAATCTGGATTAACATTGATTCAAAACACAGTTCAGAGCCTTAAAGCATCCTACTTTATGTGCCTTATTTAAAGTCCTGGGTATGAGATTGTGTTAGAAGAGATCCTAGAGATGATGAGATTTACCCTGTCATTTACAGATGAAGAAACCAAGCCATAAAAACTGAAGAGATTTGCTCCAGGTCACAGATCTACTTATAGCAAAACTGGTGCCAGAACGTAGCTGTGCCACCCGTTTAGAGCTCGTTCCAGAGCCTTGTTTCTTCCATGCAATGTTTTTGTTTCTAAATTAATATTTTAGCTGTTTTGAGTAAGATTTCAATCTGTCTGGCTGCTGGACACCTGATAGTTAAACCAGTGAGATACCAATATAGAAAAATATACAGAAGTTTTAAAGTGTTTTTGCTGATAATCACATATCATGCCTTATACTTTGGGAAAAGAAAATGAACTAAAATGAACCTTTTGATTCTACATGTTTTTTACCGCCTATCAACAGCTTACTGGGGGAAATCTCAAAAAACATTTATTTGGTTCTTAATTGTTTGTTTTGATTTATTTACTTTTTTTTTTTTGAAACAGGGTCTTCCTGTAGCCCCAGCTGGCCTGGAACTCACTATGTAGACCAGGCTGGCCTTGAACTCAGAGAGATCTGCCTGCTTCTGCCTCCCAAGTGCTGGGACTACAGGTGTGCACCACCATGCCCGGCAATTTTTTTAAATTGTTTATTGGCATTGCCTTCTTTAAAAAGTGTTATGATTATATTGAACAACCTTGTATAGGTTGGAGACTTTGGGAAGGGAGTGAATAGCAAATTCACATTATAGTAACAGTGACAAATTTCACATTATTGTTGAAGTTTAGTAGTATAGTTTTATCAGTAAATAATATTCAAAAATTATAGTAGCTATTAGAAGCCAGGTGTGGTGGTGCACACTTTTAATCTCAGCACTTGGGAGGCAGAAGCAGGCTGGTCTCAGAGTTCAAGGCCAACCTGATCTACATAGTTCCAGATCAGCTGGGGCTATAAAAAAAATTATAGTAGACATTAGAATTGCAAATTTACATTCTAAAATACAATTACATATTTTCAGTTTGAGAATTATATCAGTTTAGTTATTACATCACTTTTTCTTTTAAAAATATTTTATTATTTTTATTTTATGTGACTGAGTATATTGCCTACATGTATGCAAATACATCTGTGTTGTGCAGTGCCTGTGGAAGTCAGAAGAGGGCATCAGATCCTCTGAACTGGAGTTCAGACAGTTGTTAGCCACCATATAGATGCTTAGAACTGAGCAGTGGTTAAGAGCCACTGCTCTTAACCACTTAGTAATCTCTCCAGCCTCCAGAAAGGCCCATTTTACTTTTCCTTCCTTTGCTGTACTCCCCCAGGTGGCCACTGCCCAGGACTTTGGGGCCCAAGGAGTGCTGATATATCCTGACCCAGCAGACTTCTCCCAGGACCCTCACAAGCCAGGCCTGTCCCGCCACCAGGCTGTGTATGGGCATGTGCGTCTAAGGGGAGCCATTAGTGCCTTCCTGGGGTCTAGGGCTACATCAGTGGAATTTGCCCAGTCACCCAGTTTCAGGGTGAGC